CCCCATCGTCTAAAAACTCCCATCTTCTACAAACTCCCATCCTCTACAAACTCCCATCCTCTACAAACTCCCACCTTCTACAAACTTCCACCTTCTACAAACTCCCACATTCTACAATCTCCCACCTTCTTCAAACTCCCAATTTCTACAAACTCCCCATTTTTTACAATCTCCCACCTTCTTCAAACTCCCAATTTCTACAAACTCCCCATTTTTACAAACTCCCACCTTCTACAAATTCCCATCCTCTACAAACTCCCATCCTCTACAAACTCCCACCCTCTACACACCCAACCCTCTAAAAACTCCCACCTTCTACAAACTCCCACCCTCTACACAACACACCTTCTACAAACTCCCACCTTCTTCAAACTCTCACCCTCTACAAACTCTCATCTTCTATAAACTCCCACTCTCTAAATACTCCCTCCAGCTACAAACTACCACCCTCTACAAACTCCCACACTCTACACCCTCCTAACGTCTACAAACACCTACCCTCTACAAACTCCCAGCTTCTACAAACTCTACAAACTCCCACTCTCAACACACCCCACTCTCTACAAACTCTCACCTTCTACTAACTCCCACCTTCTACAAACTCTCACCTTCTAAAAGCTCCCACCTTCTACAAACTCTCACCTTCTACAAACTCTCACCTTTTACAAACTCTCACCTTCTACAAACTCCCACCTTCTACAAACTCCCACCCTCTACAAACTCTCACCTTCTACAAACTCCCACCTTCTACAAAATCCTACCCTCTACAAACTCCCACCTTCTACAAAGTAGGCGTCGGTGGCCTAGTGGTTAGGCTACTGGACCGATAATCGTGGGGTTCGAGCCGCGGGCCCGACGATGTGTCCTTGGGAAAGGCACTTCACACGAATATTCCTCACTTCACCCAGGTGGGAATGGGTACCCGGCCATACACAGCGAAAGATCTTGTCAGTATGTTAGTGTTTTAGCGCTTATAAATGGCTGCTTGCACTGTATGCTTCCAAGGAAGTTGAGATTGTTTCAGAATGCTCATTGGTCTGCTGGGGTAATAGTATAGATTGTGAAGCGCGTAGAGCTTGCCGTTGAGCAGTGATTTACGCTATACAAATGCTATCTATTATTATTACAAACTCCCACCTTCTACAAACTTCCAACTCCCTCAGGTCCCCAGCATTGGGGTCTACTCAACCCTGACTGGTCGCTGTGCCGCACGGGAAAGTTCCAGTCTCCCATTGATGTGGAACCCCAGAGACTTTTGTATGACCCGAGGCTGCGCCGGACGAACATACGTATACCAGATAAGGTAGAGAATGTCTTTTTTAAATGTAGGTATTTCCTGAACTTCCCCCGATGTGTCCTTTGCGTGGCTATGCATATGAGACTGTGGAACATCACCTTTTCCACAGCACAGCCCTAAATGATATCAGAGCTACACTTCTCCCTCCGAGACGTAACATTGACAACACACTCTACGCACGGAACATTGTAGCAACTGCAACAAAACTGCACTTATCACCTCATGGCATTGGACAGAAGGGCGAGAGCCTCGCTGTTACTGGATCGATAATAACAACAACAACAACAACATCACAACAACAACAACAACAACAACAACAACAACAACAA